AATCTTATAAACATGCATAGTCCTGGACATTTCCAACCAGTTTAGTGCCATCTGATCGCGGCTCAACTGTTTGCAGAGTTCAATTAAATTGGGAGCTACATTGAAAGAAGAGAATTCCTCGGCGATAAACGAAGTTATTAATACTCTTGGCGTGCTTTTCTTGTCACTATATCCAATGGCCGAGCATCATTCTCCAGTGAGTCATCAGTATTTTTTGAATTAGCATAATTACTTAAAGTCATTGAATGTCTAATGCACTTTGAATATTTAGTGCGTCACAGTTTTAGAATGATTTGTGAAAGCCTTGAGTCCTTCCCCACCATACTTCAGCAGTGAGTTACAAAAAACACATTGCTTGTCCAGCAACATTTATTTTTCTGCACCATGTGCCGATGGTATCCCCATTCCATCTCTCCGTTCAATCAATTCCACCTAATGCATTCCGGACACCTTCTTTCTAATTGTATAATATCACATTTATATCGAGAAATTCATAGTGAAATTCTCTTGTGTATATAAATAAAAAAATATTTCAATAAATGAAACGAAAAATTTACACGCAGCAATAAATGAAACGAAAATTTTACACAGCGGAGAAAAAAATTGAGAAGCGATCAATACAAATAGCTAATACAGCGAAAATACCCCTTCTCTACTTATTGGCGCCCCCACCAGGAGAGATAAGACCTTTGAACCCAGAGTCACGTGATCGCACATCTGGTCGAACGAAAATCTCCCCTTTTTTTCTGTCGCGCCTACTTGCCGAAAAGAATCCAGAAAAGAATGTCCAAGAACCGGGGGAATGAGTCATAACTCGCAATAAGGAAAGAACAAAAAAGAAGTTTTTTTCCCCTTTTCACGCCTTATCACTGCCTTTGGAGAAAGAAAGGAAAAGATTTCACCACACACACTGACCTTGCGTTTTCTGCTTCCAAAGCAAACAAAATTACCCAGATCAAAATAAATAACTCTTTTGAACGACGATCCCCGGAATTTCCGGGTATCGAAGTTCAAAATCCCTGGAATTCCGGGGTTTCAAGGGAGCACAAACACGACTGGTAATATGAAATTAACGGACTTTTCCAGATTTTGACTAAAATATTTAATTCCCTGACTTTTTTGGTCAATTTTTGAATTCCCGACTTTCCTCAGTTTTCCAGGTAGCATATGACAACCCTGTAAGTGTTATTGTAGTAAAAAGGGGGTTTACTTTTTTCTGCCTTGACAATTTTAAAACAAAGTAGAAAATTTTAAGAATAGAGATCTTTATTTAACAAATTCATTAAAAAAATAAGATAATTAATATCCTCCTGAATAAAGATGGAATTTAATGAAAAAATAGTTTTAATAAAATATATGCCATAATTATACACATCTTGTGTATACTCTATTAAAGCCAAGGAATAGTTTAAAGCAGATAACACATATTTCTGATTATTGTTTCTATTAATTGTTTTTAATCTATAACTTGCCAAGGCATTGATAATTCATGTGCAAAAAATATCTAAAAGTATTTAAATAGTCTGTCAAGCTGCCATAAGATATCAACAAATGACAATGATTTATTAAAGTAAGGAAATCAATCTTTATACTACTTGTATGCCTTCTGAAATAGATGTGTAACTGATATAAACTTTGCAAGTAAAAATTATATGCACATATAGTAAAATAAGGAAAAATAAAACATACTTGCACATATCAGATTGGTATTTCAGTATTAAAGTGGCCATTGCATATGCTATTGCAAAATTTGGTAACATTTACAGTTATTTTAGGCAAATATTAAAAAACACTATGGCAACTTTCAAAAAATGAAAAACTACAATATGGGAACATAATAAAATTTATTTAACAATTAGTAACTTTTATTTACATTTAACCTGAAATAATATTTACATACCTTTGGAGAAATAACATTTATTTACATTTGCAGAGACCATAATTTAGCAATTCCTGCTATAAAAAAATAAAATTTTTCATCTCATCCTATATATTACCACAATGTAATTTCTCTTAACTATGAATCGAAGTATTAGCAAAGTTGCAGTTTATCTATGAATACTTTCATTTGGTGGCCATTTTTACACTTTTGCTCAATATACAAAATACTATGCTATTGTAAGAAAACCACTATTCCTTTCTTTTTCAGGTGTTTAAGTTAATTTGGTTAACATTTTAGAGGAAAATTTATTATGAAGAATGGGAAAGAATGAACGATATCAAGAAGAACGTAATTCTTATTTTCAAACTCATAAAAGTTGCAAACATTTAAAAAGAAAATAAAAAAGAAATAGAAGGATATCATGGTCAAAAGTGAGAAGTGTAAGAAAATCAAAAATATGACACATTATAAATATCACAAAAAATTAATGCATCTTCTTTACCTGACTGTAAGTTAACCGTTTGACTGCTCAGCGATTCTTGCAAGAATGCTCGAAAACTGTGGGACATATTTTGACTTGATGTTGTCAAATAAAACACTCTCATTTAGACAAATATCAATCAATTTTAATAATTCATTTCGTATTATAAAGCAACAAAGACACACTGAAACTCGCAGCTCTTTCGAGACTGATGAATGCAGCACTTCTGCGCCACATAGCAGTCAAACGGTTAAAATGCTAAAACATATTAGAAAAAAAAAAAGAAATACTAAATCGCTGACATTCAGGAAACAACATCACATTAAAAATATTCTGAAAATCACATCCACTGCAGGTTAAAAGTCTAAGGCTTATAATTAAGATACAATAACATTCTGAACAAGTATTAGTTTAAAAGTCAACAAAAACCGTCGTTATATTTTCAAATTTTTACAAGACTATTTGCGCTTTGACAGCTGAGATGACTTCGGTAAAAACCATCGAAACTAGTCTTGTAAAAATTTGAAAATATAACGCTGATTTTTGTTGTATGACTTCTAAATTAATCTAAGGCTTATATTTACCACTTGGCGACTAAGCTTCTGATATTGGCAAATGAATGTATTGGCTGCTTTAATCCTGAAGTACCATCAAATTTTACATTAAAAAATTATACATATCAATAAACACACACACACACACACACACAAAAAAAAAAGGCAAAAAAGATTTTAACACATCTCATAAATTGAGATGGGTACACTTGTTTATATTTGGTACAGTTCACAAATAATCAGGGTTACCTTGCTAAGTTGAATTTGATTTTTTTTTTTTTTCCATGAAACTTGAATTTCCTTGAATTATTTTGAAATTTTGTTCTCTAAAATTTCCAAACTGAAATTGCATTTTCTTTTACATTGTAATTTTACAAATCATCTGCCTCTTTCAATCAATATGCTCACACAGTATAACGTATCACACATCACAAAGAACCACTAATCATAATAAATAAATAAAATTTTCCTAGTTTAATTTGCAGTTAGACATGAAGCAAAAAACGTTACATGAACAAAAAAGTTTTAAGCCCATAAAGTTATAATTCACATGATTTTATACAAATATGGACTACTAGATGCTCACTATATACTATATAGCGAGACAGAGAGAGGGCTAGAAAATAAAAATACATTTAAAAGTCATTAATACGGACACCCATAATCCGGACCTCAAAGCTACAAACTTTCTGCGCATAATGCGTTCACGCATGTGCATAATACTTTTACGCCATGCGCACATGTGTGTGCGCATGCGAATAATACGTTTACGCATGCGCATTTAATGTATAACGGACAGTATAAGCTACGCTAAAATTATCTTTTTCAGTTAATGTTGCAGATTGCGTTGTTCCTTAATCTTCGAATTGGATCCAGCTTATTATTTTTTGCAGACTGTTAGAGCAATTTTATAAAAGTAAGCTTGAACTTTCAATTATGTCAAAAAGAATTTCCGATGCTGGAGCTACCAAAGGATCTACAAAGCGAAAGTATGTTTCGATGTCCATCAAACAAAAAGTGGAATTGCTTCAAAAAAAGGATAAAGGCATATCCTTTGTTTCTCTAACCATTCCGAAATTTGTTTATCAATTTCACGCTGCTTTGCGGGGAGGGGATGTCGTGGAGCGCAATGAACTGGAAGTTGATCTGTCAGCACTATCCTTATCTTCAGGGCAGATGTGTTTATTTTATTCAGCTCATAATTCCTTACTAAATGTAATATTTCATCTCAATGTAGTCTGATATGATTTAAATCAAATTCCTCGTCATTATAAATATCACGAGTACACATCAAATAGTTTTCTGGTTGCAATTTTCTAATTTCGACTATGCATGCGTTGAAAGAAATGTTTAATAAAGTAAACAAATAAATATTAAGCTTTTTTTTTCTGTAAATTTTGATACCCTTTAGATCATAATTGCTCTTTATTTCATAAATAACGGTTTCATATTTTTAATTTTATAATTTCTGCATGCCATCGTACCAGATTTAAACTGATGATCTATAATCCGGAAACGCCGAAGTCCCGACGAGTCCGGATTAAAGACTTTTGACTGTATATTAATGCTGCAAATTGAACCAACATTAAAATTTTTCATTTAAAGCAAATGAATGACAACTGTAGCAGTATTACAGTTTTTATTGTTCCCTGTCTCACACATAAACAGCACTTATACTCAAATACAGAAAATCAATAAAATTACACAAATTTGTCATTGTATTTCATTTTTACACTGTAATTTTATTACAGTGAATTTCACTTAAAATTTATGTTTGCTCAGTTGCTTTTCAGTTTTAATATTTTTCTAAACAAGATAGTTTTTACCTCCTACTCAATAGAAATTTATTTATTTTTCATATTTTGTATTCACTTGTAGAGCGAAAAAGATAATGTTTAAATAGTCTCCAAAAATTTTACATAAATTTACAATTAAACTTTAAATTGAGTTCTTTAGTAATTGTAATATATGACTGAATATAATTCATAATATATCAAAACATAAAAAATGACATGATATTTTGAATAGAATCCAACAGATAATTATTATTTATGCTTATTTCAAGTGAACAAAATATTCTTACTTAGATTCCTCAGGTTCTCCAACTAAAGCTTCGCGTGCTTCAAACCTAGGTCTAATTGGATTCAATTCAGTTATTTTCATGTGTATCATATTATGTTTCAAAGTTATTAAATCAAACTTTAGCATTATGCCATTCTGAGAATTGATTAGAACTCCTTCTAAACGAGTTGGGTAAATTTTAAAATTGCTCATTTCTAAATAATAAGGTGAACGTCCAGGTTGAATACTGCGATGCCTCCTGAAATAAAATAAGAATAATCAGTGACAACAATCATTACATGCATAAAATAATTGAAAAAATTTCAAGAAAAGTAACGGAGAGAAAAGTAAAGTTAGATCAAATTTCAAAATATTTGAGCTAATAATTCATAATAATATGATTATGCAACATTTTATTCAATTTTTAAATTTATGATCCATGCATATATATATTTTAAGAGAGGAATTAATGAAAAATGATTTGTACAAACAAGGTGTGACATATAGTTTTAATTAACAAAAAAATTCCACAGAGATAGAAGAATTACACTTTAATAATTCAGAAAACACAAACATAGAGAGGTATCATGTTCAGTGCACTGAACTGATACTGAAATAGTCCATAACCTATTTTATGAGCTTTTATTTTTGCTGGTCCAGTTTTCAAAATAACTATCAATGTGATTATTACTAGCTTTTAAAATAAAAACAAAGCAACATATAGTTAATTTAACTGTATTAGAGTTATTAAAAAATAAAAAATAATAAAAAAATTCTCCTTTTTAATTGGGCAAACTTGATCCTTCATCAATAATGATTTTCTTTTTTGAAGTTTTATACATTTTAAACAATCTGGTGTGATTTTTTTTCCTTCAAACAGCAAAATTCAGTGCATGCTCTGACAATTAGATTGTTTCAGACATAAATAAGTATGACAAAAATGTTACTTTTTGAGAAAATTTGAGAAAATAAATGAAAGAAAAAATAAGAGTTATGTTGTAATACAAGGCATGCTTAGACGTAATCACTATCAGTAAAAAAAAAATTCCAATTACTTTCAAATTTCATTATCTGAATGAGCAGCAATGTGTAACTAGACATTCTTATAAAGCAAAAGAACACAACAAGTAAGTATGTTAATATTTTCAAATTTACGCAATATTTTTTTATTTTCTACATTTCATGGCAGGAGAGAGATCTTTACCCCTTGGTTTCTGTCTGAAAAAATTGCCAAGTGGTACTGGTTGTCCGTGAAATCTGGAATCCTGCTGCGTGAAATAGGTTTTTCGGTAACCCTAATGTACGTATTAGAGGCGAAACTAGCCTTGGGGATTTTTTTTTTTTTTTTTTTTTTAGTTTTTGTCATTAAAAAGGGGTTATTTCTGCGAATATCACCAAACGTGTTATGATAAATTTAGATTTTGGCTATTTTTTGTAATAGTAACCCTTTTGTATGGACCCAGGTTTGGTTTTCAGTTGTTGTGTTTGTGTGGTATGGTCTTGGATTTTGAACTTGCTATTATTTTGCTGCGGGTACCATCACTTGAGTATGTCTGTGGTGGGTAAGAGGATGAATTGATTAACAGTGAATTGCTTATATGAAGGATAGAGGAGGTGGTGGGAAGCGTGAACATATGCACGTGAAAAAAGGTATGTTAAAAAATTGATGTTTCATTTTTTTATTCGTCTCTGTGTGTTGATTTTTGTTAAAAGATTTGCTGTTTAATGTTTTTATGTTATGAAATATGTATTTTTGGTTATTTATTACTCTCTGTTTGTGTATTTTTGGTTATTTGTTCGTCTCTGTGTATTAAGACAGCGGCAAAATTTTTCTGGTTAACATGATAGTTTTAGCTTCCTGATTTTGTTCAAGTGAAAATAGATCAATGTGTACATGGACAAAGTTAAGGCAGTGCACAATATTTAGTTTGCGCAATTCTCCGATTTTTTTAAGTTAAAATAGGCCAATGTGTACATGGACACTGACTCTGCGTAAGTCTTTGACTTCTTGTTGTGGTTTTGTGTAGCAAGTGGAAGGATCGGCACCATCTTGAAATTGGTGCTGATCCTTCCTGGCGCCAATCTTGGTGTAAAAAAAGAGACGATTTGCCAAAGGGTACTATAGAGTAAATTTTAACCAACTTGATTGAGCCACGTTGCAAGAATTTATTACAAAATCTTTGTCAATCCCAAAACCTATCAGATGTCCACATTATCTTATAAACTGCAAATATATCTTACAAACTGCATATGTTGCATAAGACACCCACGGGAGATAGTATGGATTAAAACTTCATCACTACTTTCACTGCATTGCTTCAGATATGTGAAAGCACTACACTCATATTTGGTTTTGAAATCCTCTGAAAGCAACTTCAGCATCCAACAATCCAACTTTCAGACTTTCTGCATGCATCAAATCATGATGGACTTAAAAAGATGGCTGATGGCTGACTGTTCCACAACTCATACATACTCTCAGAATGCAGTATATTGTACATTTCCTTATTCTGTAACTTACAAACTGCAATTTGCAGATCTGTCAATGAATTTCAGATTATCCTCATCTCGAATAACACACCAATTTTACATCTGGTGGGATTCTTGCTTATTTCAAATATCTTGAATATGCAAAATACTACTTAATTTGAATAGCATGATCACCTATATTCATCCGGTCATGAGATTTTTTTTTGTCATTTGCCATAAATTATTTGCCCTTCAAGCCTTACGGGTTTAGCCCTGAAATTTCGAAGTTCTTCAAAATCTCATGAATAAATGGTATTTTCTTGACTATAATTAAAAAATTATTCTTCCACTGTGTAAGTTGATTCCTTTTCTTCCAAATGCATCCTACCTGAAATCAGATACTTCAAAAGCTGGCAGAAATTTTCATGTGTAATGATTATGAAAGCCACCCTTCTGTACGGAATTTTCCGTCTGCAATGCTGAGAGGGTTAAAACATAATTTACAATTTAACAAAAAAAAAAAAAAAAAAGAAAAAAAGAAAAAAAAGACTAAAATAATTAATTATATAAATTTAGCAAACAAATGCCAGAATTCAAACCATTCATTGGTAAAATAAAATATGGTGGGGAGCAAGAAAATGTGAGCTGGCATAACTGATAAGTAGTCGGAGGAATTTGTTCATTTTACTAAGAAATAAATCATGCAATAGTAATAATTGAAAATAAATAAAACAATCACCTAAGTACATTTACCTAATACTGAGTGAATTATGATCTATTTTGAAGAATCTTCAGTGAAAATAATATGATCTACATTTGTTTTAGGTTTTTATGTTAATCTGGTGAATATAAAATCTTAACATTACGTATCCCATGAAGTGGCATTAAAAAAAAAAAAAAAAAAAAAAAAAAAAAACTTAAAATATAAACTAAAATTGTCAAAATCTATTTAGAGATTAAGGAAGTACAATTTTTAGAATCAAACTAATTTCAAATTTAAAAAAATTCCTAACTAGCAGAACTGGAAAATTTAATTTTATCGTGGTTCTACATGCTATTCCTGCTCAAAAGGAAAACTATATTTAAGGTGGAATTCTGTATATTGCTTAACCTCTAAGCAGCCAAACCATATTTAAATATAATGTGTGTAAAATATAAAATATGTAACACAATTACTAACAAAATTTTGACAACAGACCTTTAAATTTCTGATTTAAAATATTAATACAACCCCTTTGTCTTTTGCACTGATGTCTGCAGTATTCTGCATTGCCAAAACGCTTGCCAAATTGCCATCCAGAACTTTAACAAAGAATTTCCAAACTAATGACTACTGCATATGATTAGGCATTTTCTTTCATTACTTTGCCTTCCTGCTGCCAATGTGTCAGTTAGCTTCTAGCTATTCTTCTTTATTTAAAATGTAACTGTGTATATAAATTGTGGGGTGTATTTAGCACCCATAGTGTTGTTTCAATTAAGAAGATATGTGCTATGAAATTCATCGTTCAGAATTGTCTTTCATATTTTATACTTTAGATACATATATACATGAAGATTATATATATATGCAAAAAATAATTTTGATATTTTTAAACACACAGACACATTCACTTTAAACATGCAAACAATTAAAGTAGCATACATATCAGAAGAAAAAGAATCAAAGTCTAAATTAGGAGTGTTATTTTCGAACTGCAATCAGAAAAAACACACGGTCTTTTTGGAAAATGTAGGAGTATGGAACCATCAAACTTTGGCCACTTGGAAGATAAGAGATTTGTTTCAATTATCATAACTAGTTCATAAAATACCTTAAAAACGCTCTCTTAGAAATCCGTTTTTTGCCAATAGTTTTTCAAAACTGAGCTTCATCTTGATGCAAAAAACTTATAGAAAGTAAAAATATTCTTATAGGAATAATCTCTCTACTAAAACAATAATAATAATAATAAATAAGAATCAGGGCTTACTTGCAAAATCCACTCTGATCACAAGTTTTGAAATTTCCTCTGTCTACACATTTTATAAATGGTTGAATAACACAAAGAATAGATAATATGAAAATCCAGCATAATCTAAAAAAAAAAAAAAAAAAAAAAAAAAGAGGGATAAGATTATATAGATATAAGAATTGCAACAGCAGATGATATATTTTCATAAATTCTTGACATAAAAAAGAGGGAGGGGCAGTTTTGCATCCTTTTTATGTTATATTTTTAAACAAATGCTTTTTACTTTTTATCAGTTGCCATAGTTCTTTAAGTACAATTTAAATAAACTTTGTTAAATTTTACTCATTATGAATTTACTTGTTATAGCTTTAATAGCTAAAGCTTCTTTTCACACAATAGTACCAAAGAAACTTCATCATTTAACTATTCAAACAAGTCCATTTAAACTTTAAAACTTCTTATATCATCTACACATTTTTATCATTAATAAATAATATATGCATATTATGTTAAAAATAGTAGTGAAAACTTAAGTCATGTAACACATGAAATATCTATATCATCACACAAAAATTAGAGGCGATTTAAAAAAGCATTTTAAATTTTTAATTTATATTTAATGAAAAACTAGAAACTATTTTCTGCATTTTACATATCAAACTTAAAACGCATTATATATTTAAAATGTCAAAAAAAAAAAAAAAAAAAAAAAAAAAACAATATTTACTTATTTACATGTTATGAAATTCCCATCTACAACAAGATCAATATTACATCTGAACTACTTAAATCAGCATTTATTTAGATTTAACTGAAACACCGAAAAATGAATCTAAACACAGCTATCTGATTTTCTGACATTAATGATCTGCCTAAAACTATACCTAAATTTATACACAATTCTTTCATGGAAAGGCCAGTATTTAACATTTTAAAATAATTCATTTACTTAAATACTAAATTAAACAATGTCTTCATTTGAATACGCACAAAAATACAAAGAAAACTCTCTTAGCCTCTCTTTAAAAAAACACGGTTATTTTGATCAATTTTCGCAAAAGGATTTGATTATCTAAATTAGGCAGAACACACAAAAATATCGATTTTCATAAAAAAAGAGGTCTAGGATTTATTGTTATAATGAATGTTCATTCTCAAATTCTATTAATATAACAGATGATGGATCAAAATTGAGCCTTCAAGATTCTGAAAGAAAGGCAACAATATTTCTGATAATTATTGCAAAATTACTTAAAAGAAAGTAGCAAAAAAAGTAAAATAACATGCTAACAAGTATATCCTCATGTAAAATCCATGAGCTTTCATTTTGTCATAAAAAGCTACCATGTAGCGAGTATGTAAACCGTTATATATCAACAAAAGAAAGCCGCATCAGCATTTAGAAACAAAGCAAGTATATACAGTTTTACGTCAAATTTAATAAAGGATATATAATCAACTTCACCAATTATTAAATACCGTAACATACCTGTTATACGTGGCCATGTCCGTTTAAAAATTTTAAGATGTGAACGGCAAAACAGCCGCCGACAATGAATGAGTTATCTGTATCTATAAACAAAAGAGCACGGTTGAGATGTCGGCAGGAATCGTATTTTATTTGCATTATCTTTCCACTAGCATTCTCTCTATCTCGACATCGCAAGGTTAGTTATTAATTAGACGCAATTTTAAAAATTTCTAAATAATACGATTAAAAAACCACTCATCTTCTCAGAAATGAAATTGGTGCAGCTGCCCAGTGTTTGATAGAGCCTAGCTATCTCACTATGTAGTCTCCTATTTTTTTATTGCTTCTTGAAATAAAGAATAAATAAATAAATAAAATTGAAAATTATTCTAGAAAGGATTCGGTAAAAGAGCTAGACTTTAGATTTAAATGATTGCACAATAAAGCCTTTGTAGAAGTCGAAGAATTTAGTAGGAAGTGAAAGGACGGCGAATAGTACTCTTTCTTAAAATATTATTGTATGGAACCTATCAGTTTGGAAGATAATCAAAGTTGTAAGTATAAAATCTATTATAATAAGCTAACTATGATGAGGGAATACTTCTTACTAAATCAAATATTTCCGTCTACCATATCGTTTCTGTCAAGAAATTTGGTTAAAGTCTCCTTTATACAGAGAACTACTTATAAACCAATGCAAGCCTTTTGAGTTTTGGAAAAAATTGAATAATGAATTGAATAATTAGTTTTGTCGAAATCACAGCTATGGTGACATCCCAAGTGTTGGGTCCTCACACTTTCAAAATATTTTCGTGAGATAAAAGTTAAAAGTATCAGCAATAGTTTACAATTTCCAATCTTAAATTTAAATATATATGATATTTTGATATTTCAGTCTTATAGTTTTATATTTACTTACCATTACAACTGCTGTATCATATTTTTTTATGTTATCCCGTATATCAAACAAAAAAGTTTTCTATTTTTTTTCCCATATGTCTATAATACGCAAATATACATCTGTAAAGAAAACAAAAATTAGTATAAAATAAGAAACTGCTATACTAAGATTTTTCCTGAAACTTTAATAATGAGAGTGGGCTCAATATACAGTAATATCCCTTTATTATTTCTAAAGAGAATAGATTAAAAAATCTAATTTTAAACTAAAATTTCAAAACTAGGAATTTAAAGCACTCGTGTTTAAAATAAAAGGCTAACCTCAAAGGCGGTGCTAACTGTATAAAGTTTAATTAAAATTCTACTAAATGTAAATACATTTTTGTATTCACTAACTTATGATTATAACTAAGTTAGTGAATACAAAAACTCAGTGCTGCGCGGGAAACTACTCATAGAATATGCAAGTAAGGTGAACGTTAGCAAATCACAAAAGGGAACACCCTCATCATTGGGCACAAAATGGAAACGTAAAGTTTCAAAAAGATATTATGTTGTTAGAAATGTCTGAAACACAGCATTTAAATGACAGATAGAAGTGGATAGTGAGAGCTTGGTAGACTCAGGAGGAATTACATATAGCTTCAAAGATTTCGAGGTGATATGTTCGCTTGTGCTTGTCGGTCTTTACTGCTTACTCATCGTCATCTATTAGCACAATGAGAAGTGCAGCAGCGAGTTTCGTTATACTTGGAAAATAGTAAATGACCTTAGGATGCGATCGTGGGTCTGCTTCGAGTGAATTCAATACTGTACCGCTATCACAAAAGAGCTTCCTACGGTAATTTTGGATATTTGAACTATTTCGTGGTTTGAGCCTCTCATTAGCACTCAGAATCGCTACAGACCCCTTTCTCAAGCACGTTTGATGTGATATGAGGTGATGTGACTACTGGTTATCAGGAACTGAGTCCTCCTGTGCATTGAGGTAATTGATAATTGCTTTGGTTGCCTGCATCTTCAGTGCATGGGTGGGTGTATTTGAGCCTGTTGTTGCATTGTAAGGCATGGCGCTGTGATACGTGTGACATTGTGTCTTTCCCAAGTGGATGGCGGTGCTTGTTCTCCAGGTCACCTTCTGTGGATATATCGAAATGGGTAGTTTCGAGTATCACGTTCGGGTCACCATTTGTAGCGATTTTGAGCTGGGTTCGGACGCTTCCCGCACTACAAATGATGACCGAACATGATATTCGAACTACCCATATCGAAATCTACGCAGCTATGCGTCTCCAGAGAAATGAATATTTTCCAAAGCATGATCTTAAGAACTCGAACCCGGTTTTTGAAACATGAAAATAGTTAATCGTATTACTAATTAAAGTCGTTCGAGGATATATACGACATCAAAAGACCATTATTTGTTACTGTCGGCAAGATGAAACCACTGCGCAGTCGCAAGATAGATAAAGTAATAACTGCTCAGCTCACTGGCCATTGTGAGAAATATTAGAGCTCAACGGAAATAGTTATTACAGACCTTGAAAATTTAATCCCTGTTGTGAACTGTTTCAAAAATAGAAGGTACCAGCAAATACCAAAAAATTATTCTGATAATTTTTCGCAGGCATAAAGCAAGAAATCTGACACAGAATATTTTCATAAAAGGTATATATTTCTGAAATCCAGGTATTTCATCCTACTCGTGATAAATGTTTCGGATTTATTATAAACGAAAATTTTACATTCGAAAGGCATATTGTCTATACATAATTGTATGTCCATACATAAATGTCAGGAAAAGTAATAAAACACTTGGAGTTTTTCCTCGTTATCAGTACGCAGTTCGAATCTGAATATGGATATGGAGAGATAGTCTTCGAAGTATTGCTGTTACATACACATTTAAGAATAAACTCATGTTCATGCACATTATTTGATCATAATGGCTTATTTCAGTTTTGATGAGAATATAGAATGCCATAGTATTGTCCAACAACTACGATTAGTTCATTTATTTTAAAATTACGTACATATATTATAAACAAAATACATTTTATAACATAACTTACGTAATGAATGAAAATTAGAAAAGAATTTTATTTTTCTTTCTTTAAAGGAATGTCAATTTTTAGCCCAAAGGGACATTAGGCCAGAAGGGCTATAAGTATCGCAAGATCATTTTGCGTCGAATGACTAAAAGTGTTAAATCACTTTTCATATTGTTGCCACCAAATATTATAGCCTTGAATTATATTGAAATAAATTAAATAATGGAGAAGCTGAATATATGTATGTATGTTTCTCACATTGTGAAATAGGAACGGTACCTAGAGCAATCAAATTTCGAATAACGTATATGTTATATTTGGGTGGAGGACTAATTTGAATTTCGAATTCGTTTTATTGTCTTTTTCATATTTTGCAAACCTTTATCTCCAGGGTGCGAGGCTGACTGCTATCGGGAATTCTATAGATATGCTGTTTCTTAATATTTTTAGCCCAGAGGCTCTTGAAATGTGTGTGTGTGTGCGTAAATTAAAAAAAAAAGTGCTCCTTTGGGCATAGCATAAAATCTAAAATCTTTCCAGATTTTTTTCTTTTATTTTTTATTTGGAGGCTTTATTATTTTTTCATTATTGCCATACACTTGTACTTAACTTATAAATTATTTATAATCTTCTACTACGTCTATTTCTTTTTATTACAGGCAGAAAGACTCAAAACGAAAGCTTACTTTGCTAAATTCATGTTCAGGTTTTTCAAATTCCAAGTATGTAATGTTTTATACCGTTATATTTTTACGTAACACAACTAATATGCTACTTTTTAATAATATGCCAGTTTCACATAAAGCTTTAAATGCTCGTTGTGTTTCATTTCTCTTAATAATTTCTACTTGTTTCTCTTAATATTGTTTACAGTGTATTTAAATAATAAAAAAAAGTATTTATATTAATAAATAATAGTTATAAGTTCATGTCTGAAACTAGCATAATAAGAATTTGTAATTATATCTTTTGAAGCTTTACAAATTAATTTAACTACTTTTCTATAACTGCTATATATTTAACTACTCTTATGTATCTAACTAGTTTTATATAACTACTTTTATGTATTTAACTAACTTTTATGTGCTTAATTCAATTTAAGTTTGGTATGTTATACTTTTATTTGTAATTTAGGAACTACATTATGAAAAAAAAAAAAAAAAAAAAAAAAAGATAAACCATAAGTTTGACAAAGAGAGAAAGAGATGAGATGTTTGCTGCTATAATAGCTGTTTTATTGTGACTTCGTCAATTGACTCATAGTAAGATTAGAAGAATCTCAGGAACTTTACCGTGTAAAGACGCATCCAAGATTGTGTCTGTCGTTGGTATGGGCTTTCAGCACCATATAGTTGGCAGTCAATGGCGTAGCTAAGATGGGGCAAGGAGGAAAAATCTATCCTTGGCGCAGAATCCAGGAGGTGCCAAACTCATGTGCTCCATTAAATTTTGGCAAATAAAAGGGGCCGCGAAATCTTTAATTGTCGAATGCTGGAAACCCTAACTACGGCTCTGGTGACAGTAGGAATTTGCCCAGCTGCGTCTAAATTCTGGTGAAGAATCCTCCAGAGGATAGTTCCCAGGTCTGCCGCATGATCTTTTATAATAGCTGTTATGAATTTGAGGTACTACTTGATTTTCATGGCCCAGTTATCAAAATGGTGTCAAGATCATCGCCATGTTTAAACCACTCGCATATAGTGTGTGACTGCTATATCTCCGTTATTGTTTTTAATATTGTATCAAAAGGCTTATCTTTTTCAAAAGATTTCTGCCACATGAATTCAGAAAGATATGACTCTACGATGATGTCCAGCCGTACCCCTTTGCTTTTTGTTTCGCTATTCAACAGAACCTCACAATCTTTCCACATTTGGGGGGTGAGGACGCATTGCTGGATCAGCAAATCTACAAAATTAAATGGGTGATTCACAGTTAAATGGTTGTAACAAGCCTTTTAAGGCTCATCTGTTTTATAGGTTCGCCGACAATTTGAATGCATTGTCGTGATCTGCAGTCGTTGATGTCAGTGTATTTGCTTTCCGATTTGAAATTTGAACAAGAAAGCATTCACTACTTTCACAGCAGAACCCACTGAATGCTCATTGTTGTGGAAGTACCTTGCCAGCGTTGTGTTTTCGCTGTACGAACACACTCTCAT